AAAATTATTTTTTATTTGAAAATAAATTAAATTGATAATATTTATATTTTAAATTTATTATTTAATTATTATAAATTTAGTAAATAATTTTTATCAAATGATACGAAAAATTTAATTAAAACTATTATAAAAAATTATTTTTAAATAATATTTTTTTTGACAATTTATATCAAAACGCAACCGCAACCGTAATGAACCATTCACTTTTAACTGCATCCACCCGCAATCGCTACCAACAGCAACTTCTCAACCAGTCAGTACTAATCATTTATAATCGCTATCAAATATTTTGAAAACACTGTCACCCGCAACCGCAACTGTTGCGGTACAACCAGTCGAACCCATAGTCGTTGCGTTATCATTCCCCACGTTCCCCGTAACGGAAACCCATCCCAAGCAATCTCGTAGATTTGTGGGAGGGTTGCTGCCAACACAGGTTTGCCACAATTCCCTACGAACCGGCCATTCAAAAAAGAGGTGAAAGTGCGGCTCTTCGTCCTCTTGGCATGAGGTCCAGATTGTATCCGTGGTGACCCTCCATCTAGAGAGCTGATCTCGAGTCGGATCTCTTTCCATCGGATGACAGCAAATCTAGGTATGGCTTGCTTGAACTGTACAAGGGTGTGCTGCTGTACTGGGGGTAGATCCTTCTGATTTGTTTCCACGTCATCGACGTCGAGAAGAAATTCCTGTAGGAATTAGTCTAGTGTTTCCATAGGCACAGATCCTTCCATTTTTCATCATGAGGAATAAAAGTTGTTGACAGATGCATTTGCAGCGTTTCAATACGAGGCGAGCATGCTCCCATTAGCGCCCATTCCTCTCCGTTTGATCCCTCGTGAACCTGTGAAGCGTAATAGCTTCGTGCCTTCTTTGCCAATATAATCAATCGATGAGCCGCGCTGTCAGTCCAAACATCATACCAGAATAAGGCTCGAGTCTCATCTCTAGTCTTGCATACGATAAAGTCCTTGGCCACGTCCTTTAGCTTTAGAAGTTTTCTCATGTCCCAAAAAATCCTCAAGGTTACCGCAGCATCCCAACACACCTTTCCCTTGAAGACGTTATTCTCTACCCGTGTTACCTATAGCGATCTCGCCTGCTTGAATAAAAGCCATACCCGCTTGATTCTGAAAATCTAGTATGGAATCTTCCAGTTTTCTGATGCCGAGACCCCCTTCGGTTTAAGGCATGCATTTCAATTCTCGAGAGACTCGCGTCGAACCAGAACTGTCTGTGTAGAGGAAGGATGAGCATAAACCATCTATCTCCTTGAGGATTGATTTCGGCAGTAGATAAACCTAGCTCCGAACAAGGATAGTTTCATAAATGGCATAAGAAATGAGTTGTAATTTACCCGCAAAGCTGAGAAATTTGGTTGTCCGAGGTAGGAGGAAGAAGGCAGGGGAGAACAGAGCATTTGGTGAAGAAGCTGGACATATTAGCGACCATTTTCCCTCAGCTACTTTTATTATGTTTCCTGTTTTATTGAGAAGTAAGTCTGCGATATTGGGGGCATGCTGGTGGTGCTTTGACAGAAACCGCTTTGCTGCGTATTTATACTTAGACAGGGAAAGGGAATTCTTCTCATGCTTTGATTCTGGGTTTTTGCTGGTAAGGGGAGCGAGGGAGGCTCTTAGACATCAACCTTTCCAACTTGTTCTCTGCTCTGATTATCAATATATTAGGGCATTTACAAATCTGTTCTTAACAATATTGGTATCAGAGCATTTCTCCGATCCAAACATGCTGAAAACGAACAACCAACTTCTGCAGCACCTTGAGGAAGTAGTGACGGCTAACCAGGCTTCCATCACCAAGATGGAGGCTAGTATCACCGTGATCGAGGAGGAGTTCTCTTGGGTGGAAGTGATCGAGCGGATGCTGGCAGATCTGTGCACTTACATCAAACCTCGACCTGACCACGGAAAACAGAAGCTCATGGAGGAGTCTTCTTCTGCTCAGATCCAGCAGCTCTCGCCGTCGTCGCCCATACCTACAGATCTGGAGGCGAGGTTGCTGGCCCAGGTACTTCTGCCTGCACCATCTGTTGATATGCCGTCACAGGAAGCATCCCGGTTTGTGGAGACTGTCTGACAACCACCTGGAGAAGATAGAGATGTCGGTCTTCAAAGGAGAGAATATCATCAGTTGGTTCATCGGTGCGGAGCGATACTTCGCCATGTGTAGATGCTCCGAGCCGAAATCTGTTCTTAACACCAGCCCTCAATCATTCTCTTGATTTTGTCGACCCGTGGTGCACAATCTCCCTTCGATAATCACCATAGTCTAAGGAGTAGTCCAAGATAACGCGTTGGTAGGGAGCCTAACCCGATCCACATGTGTTGCGATAGTTGGACAGTTTCAGCTGTAGTGTGATGCCAACAGTGAATAGCTCTGATTTGTCTTTTTCCCACCTCCAATCTAGAGTATTCCTTAGAAATTTCCAACAGCCTTGTGACTTCTGATAGGGAGCGCTCGCCAGTATCAGAGAGAACGATCAAGCCATCAACAAACACAAGGGGTTAGTAGTGGTGGTGCTCGAAGTCGTGAATGGAGTTTAAACCATTGTTCTGTGCGGAGTGGTCTAGCAGTTTTGATAAAACCTCCACAGCGATGATGAACAAGTATGATATACCTTAGCCCTCATTTTCCTGGAAAAAAAAGTTGTTATCTATCCATTTATAGCTATAGAGAACCTTGGTGTTGTGAGGCATTGCTTGACCCACTGTATGAACAGCCTCAGGAATTCCATTGTTTGAAGGATAGCTATGACGATATCCTATTTGATAGATTCAAAAGCCTTCCGCAAATCCACCTTTAACATAGCATCCTTTGGCGTTGAGTTTCGGTGATAGTTCCCGATTAGCTCTGATACCAACAAAACCAATCTTTTACTGTATAAGTTTCAAAGACTCCCCAAGGAAAATGTAAATGTTATGCATGCTTTAATAAGGACAAGAAAATGGAGAATGGAGATTGAAACAGAGAGGTTACCAATACATTTTAATGATCCATGTTTGAAGAAAGACAGAACCATTATAGTCGGAATGGAACTTTAAATGAAAATACAGTATTGTTAAAGATCTAAGAACCTGACCAGAACTCATTCCTCTTGAACACAGCCTTCGAATTTAGCCTATGAAGATCTTCCATCTCCAACTTGCCCTCGTGCGCATCCACGACCTGAGGGATTCGATCTTCATAACGGGTAACGAATTCCTCCACAAACTTTTTTTCGGGTAACTTCAGTAACCAGGTAACCGAACTGATTTCTCCTTCCTTCACCTCTCCCTGGCTTTCCAAGAGATGAAGAACCGTGAGACGGGGAATTATTCTCTTCTCTAGGCTCAACAACAAGATCTGTGGTGCCACTATCACCTTGTTTAGACTCCAGTGCATACCCTTGAGGAAGAAGTTCATTTTCGCTCTCGTGTTCTTCTCTTTGAACATCATGATTGATGGTTGCTTCTTGAACCCTACCAAGATCTCCGAATCGGACAAACCATAGCTCCTGAACTGATTCATTTTCCCTTCCCAAGTAGATTTACTGCACCATCCAATCGCTCCAACTGCAATACCAAATGTGGGTTCCCTGGGTTGAAACCCCATTGCTTTGACCATGGCTATCGCTTCCTCGAACCTTGATGGTTGTCGAGCAAATCCTCTAAGTCGGAGAATCATCAACTTGGCAATCCTGTATTTGGGAACCCCAGCATCATGCAACTTCTTCATATTCAGCTCAATGGACTTTTTAGTGCTGCAGCGGAACACGAATGGGTAGTTTCTGACAGCTCGAACTGCATTCTTCTTGCTGCCAGTCACATCCTTCAGCATATCAAATAGAGGTATCAAGTGTTTCTCCACACTGCGGTTCAGTACCCTTGGTTCCTCTGAAACTATTCTCAGAAATTCAGGTTTTGATATCCCTTTCGAAAAGAGAAAGTCCATTTTTGGCCTCAGGGTTTTCTCAGGGTCTGAGACGAGGATACGTGGCCATCGAGAAACAACGGATTTTATCTGAGACTCAGAGAAACCATTATCTTTGAGGAATTTCAAGACCAAATTTGGTTTGTTTGACGATTGCAAACAGTCAACATCAGACTCAGGAGCACTACCAATCAAACTAGATATGCTAAATGAAGATTTACTACTGTTGTCCTGAGCTGGAACCAGAGTAGACAAAAACCTCAGCCGTTCCAAACTCGATACAGAAGTAAACTGCGTCGGTGTATATGCTAGAATATTCACCAAGGCGATCAATTTTGTTCTCCGAAGTGAATGAATCATCTTCCTGAATTTCAAAACGGCTATAAGTACTTCAGTTCAAGAGAAAGCTCGAATGCTCCATAGAAGAACCAACACGGAAGATTCAAGCGCAAAGATGGAGATGAACATGCCCAAAGTCCAACTGAAACAGAAGAATACACATTGTATACAAACGCATAAAAAACGACAACTGATGCAGACGAGCATAGTGCAAAGAATCTAAATCACAAGCCCAAGCAAGACAAATTCGAAATTTTGAGCAACTAAAAACCAGAAACGCATAAAGAATTCATCACGCTCGACGGGAATGGGAAACAGAGACAGGTGTAGATTCTCTGGCACTAAACCCTAGAACTTTAGATTCATCAATAAAGACATAATTTGGGATATTTAAGCGAAGAAAATAATCACATGCATGAAATCTGATGAACACAGAACAATCTAGAGAGACCAAGAACCCGATCGAAAATCGAACCTATAACTGGTCTGGCAGAGATCTCACCGAGGTCGGATTCGGAGACGCCAACTCTCACTAGGTTGCATTCTGGATTCCAACGGGGACGACAACAGGGTCGAAAAGGCGTTTCAGTTATTGGGCCTTTTGTAAAGCCCATATGTAAGGCCCAATATCCATTCATCTTACAATGGAATAATTATTTGGTTATACAAAGGGCATTCAGTGAACTTTGTTCGTCTCTTCCTTAGAATCCTTCTAGTCGTCCCGTAAAGGCCTCCTCGATCCTATGACTCTATGTGTACTCCCACAATGTTTAACGTTTTTACTAAATAATTATCATTTTATGTTTCTAGACAAAATTTTAAAATGATTTATAATTTTATCTTTAATAAAAACTATCCAATTCCAATAGATTATTAATAATAATATTACTATTTGTGTTATTAAAGAATATATTTGACTTTTTTTTCTGTTTTCTAAAAAAATGTGAACAAAATTAAAACTGTTAGTGCAATTATGTGTACATGTATTTTTTTGTGGTTAAGTGGTTATTACAGATTCAACAAATTTGAGAGATTTCATAAGAGAAATCCGACGAAATACAGTTCGAGATATTTTGAAGTAAGTCTGAAGAGTTAGAAAAAAAGTTAATGACTCTAAAAGATTGAGATGGACTCAATGTCACCCACTTGGAGAGATTTTAGGGAAATCAATCTGAAAGTATAGAGTCAAGAAGTTTAGATTTGATTCGAAGAGATGAAGATAAAATCACTAAGAAGATTTGAGGAGATTTGAGATAGACAAAATCTTAGAGATAAAGCCAAAGACTTAAGAGATAGAGATAAAGATGAGATTTTGGAGATAGAGATGAAATCGAAGAGAACCAAGGAGGAGTCTATCAAATCGTGAAGGTCTAAGGCGAATTGGATGAGCCTATATAAAAGAGACAAACTGCATATTTCTTCTTACGAAGAGCAAAACATATTTTTCTTTAGAGAGTTTTTTGGTGTGTGAGCACTCACTATTTGGTGAATGTGAGTTTGAGAAAGAGACCGATTGAACAAATTTTTTTTCTCTGGTGAGTGTTTGAGCGTAAATCTGAAGGGAGATCTAATGGAAAAATCTCTGTTCCTTTGCTGAACGTTTATGTTTGGACGTGGATCTGAGGTTTTTGATCGGTAGAATTCATTATGAGAGTGAGTTGAAATTCAGAGGGAGTTTCATCTGGGTGTTGAATAACTCTAACAAAAAGTGAATTGTACTTGACATTTTTCTCAAGTGAATAAAACATCTTAGTTTTTCTGTTTTACTCTTCGACTTTTTCAAAAACGTCAAACTTTATGAAATGGATGGAGTGGTAGAATATGTATGTGCGTGCTTTGCCGCAAGTGTAGTCTACATCCTGTACCTGAAAACCCGCTACACTCCCCGACTCCACTGACCCTAATTGGTGGCCTAACTTCTCTATACTCTGTTTCTTTCTCGAGCAAACCACTCGTCACAAGCTTCTACTCCACGTAGATGACCTCTCGAGGTCCCTTGGTAAGTCGACACTCGAATCCTCGTTACGACACATGTGACGATTCCCTTGGACTACCTTGCACTGAAATCTGAACTCTCATCCTTCACAAAAGTTTATCCACCTGTAGATCATCTTCTATGGTGAAAAAATGTTACCCGAGCTACCACTTTTGGAACCATTCTACCCTCTAACACGTATAGACCATTTTCTATCCCACCGTTTAACACCACTCAGCACTCTTTAGACATCTTCTCATGACTTGTACCACCACCCAGGTTTTTTAAACGTGCAAAGACACGTAACACAAAGATTGTGGATACCAATCTGCAGTATGTGCAGATATCATCAACCCTTACGCAGTTGAATTTTCTTTTTCAGCATTCAATATGAAAGAACCATAAAAAAAAAATACCGATTGGGTACACCACCATCTTTGTTCTTTTCTTTTCTCTCCAATTATTTTCAGAATCTTCTAATCCAAAACATAATCATAATAATAGTCTGCAAAAAAAAAAAAAAGGAAAATATCACCAACCTCCTGCCCTCTCGCTATTCACAAAATTTTCAATACCAGTCTGCAAAAGATTTTCATCATTTCCCTCCTCCTGCCGCGCGCCTTATAATAACCCTATTTCCAGAGAAGTTTATACTAATATCGCCGTTCGTTCATGGGCATGGCACCGATTCAAACATAAGAGCAAAGTACCTCTTATATCCTAATCTTTTCCGGTTATATCTTCGTGGCATCATTTGCTTCTGATTTTTGGTCCGTCCGGATGTATGTGAGGCTACGAGCAGCAATGGGGGTTGAGCCGCTGTTTCCGGTACCAGAACTGAACTCGGTGACTGCTGTTGCTGCTGCTGAAGAATCACGCTTCCATTGCATACTCCTGGCTCCCGGTCTGACGGGAGGACGGCCCATGAATCCGCCGAGCATTCCTCTTCCATATGGGGAGGCTCTAGGGAACCTTGTCGGTGTATATGTAGACCCTCGTGTGGCTCGGGGCCATGCCATTGTCGGAGCTGCATCTTGCTGGCTCGAGCTCCCTTTCACAATCTGCACCCATTACAAACATATTCAAGTTTCGGGTTAAGTCTCTTCATAAATCTGTGCGAAATAGCAGACTCTATGATCTCGAGAGATGGTTAACCGATCATAACATATCCCCATATGAGAGAACAATATATTTGCAAGTTTGGATGGATATGGCAATAAACACGTGTTGGAATAGAGGTGGCCAATTTGGTTAGTAATCGAATAACCGATTCAATCCAAATCAAATAACACAATCCTAACTGAATCAAATACGATATAAAAACAAATGATTGTGGTTTATCTAAAACTGAAAAAACCAAACTCAAACCGAACCGAAATAATAAAAAAAAACTGGAGAAATCGAAAAAATCATCTGAAAATTGAGTATGTTTATCAGTAAAACCCGAACCCAAATAGACTTCGAGCGAATTCAATATAAAAAACGAATGGTTATAGTTTTTCTAAAACCGAACTAACCGAACCTGAATAAACCCGAACCTAAACCCGAAATGACTACCCCTAGTTGGAACCACAAACAGAGTCTATTGTACACATAGAATACGCACTTCTTTATAAATCTTAAAAAACTGTCACTGAATTAATCGGGAAATTGATGTGTCCGCATATAATTGAAATCATAACCGATCAAAAAGGTTTCATTGACTAAACCAAAACAAGGATTTTGTGGGGGGGGGAGGGGGGAAAACCTTGAGAATCCTGGACATAAACGAGGTGCCATCCAGAGACAATGCGTTGTCTGCAGCTTCTTTGCGCATGAACTCAATATATGCTGATCTGCAAATTGCAACGAGAATTAGAATACAGATGTCACTGAAAACTGAACTGTGTATCTAACTGATATCTAGACAATGAAGCAGTCCATAGTGAATTATGAATTCAAATACTCACCCTGTTGGTTGCCTTGTTGCCGGATCTGTAACTATGACAACTTTCAGCACCTCACCAAATTTGTTAAAATGCCTTGACAAGCTATCTTTTGTGGCACCAAAGTGAACCTGTTACATGAACAATCTTGTGAAAATGTGTTCCCAAATAAGAAGTGTATGCTCCATCCAATTCAAGAGTAAATATAACATTAAGTATAAGTTTTTACATTGGTTACAAAGATTGTCCGAGCATCAGCATCTTCTGAAGGGCGGATGGTAGACAACGTCACTGCAAAATACCATCAATCAATACAGCCTCTTAGAACAACACATCAAGCACAGTTATAGTCACATGAACCAAAGTGATGATCTGAAATGGAGACAACCAAAAAAAATTCAAAATTATGGTTTTCCAGCATAACCTAAGGCCAACACAATTTGAAACTCACCTGGAGTAGATAATGGTGTTTTTGGAGCTCCTTGCTGGACATTTGTAGCGGGTTTTACCTGTTTAAGATTTTTTTTTAAAAAAACAGCTTGTATCAGGAGTCCAACATCATCATTAACCAGAGAAAATTTTGTCAAAGCATCAGCTTGAAGAAGATTAATAAAATAATATCTGACAAGAAAATCACCGAGATGTTCTGCAAAAACAATGCCAATAAATTCTTTGGGGACACTTTCAAAAATATCATACAAAAAGACTAAATTTAAGGGATGTGCAACTCTCTGGACATTTTAACTTACATTTCCATTCGTAATCACAGTAGTACTGGACATGTTCGCCTTGGATGATTGGATGACAGCTTCATTGGTATTTATCTTGCCTTCCTGCAGAGATCTTTGAGTTTGAGGACCCACATCTGCTACTTCCCTCTGCCCATGAAGTCTAAAGTGTTTCCCTGGATCGATATTCCCAGAGAAACTTGTATTCTTGAACATCGCATCCACTTGAGTAACGTGATTTTCAATGGCGACATTATGATACACACTTGTTGGATTGTCAGTTCTGTTCCTACCAAGAAAACTTGTGTGAGAAACTTTAACACCTATACTGGGTTTGCCATGATTAGACATAGCATTCAATTGCAAGCCGGTATCAAAGGTTGACATATTCTTGTCATATGTTCCATTGTAGTCAAGACCATGAGGGTATTGAGGCTGAACCCGCTCTTCATTCTCAGGGGCAGCATCTCTGAGTACCACATGTTGGTCTAGAGTCTCAGATAAATCGGTAGAATGACTAATTCGGTCAAACACACTTCTACCAGTTTTGGTTTTCTTCACATCTTCAGCTGCTTCAGCGACAGCTTTCATAACAGTTGACATAGGATTCACAACCCTAGCAACAGAACGAATTCTCTGAGGTGGTTCAGGGGCAGATGAGTCTTCAGTGGATGTTGACACCACAGAACGAAGACGCTTCGATGAGGATTCCTTTAGAGAATTAGATGGTTTTGAAATAGCCAGAGCATCTCGTACAGCAAACTGAAGTAGCCGGCGAGAAACATCATGTTTAGCCTCCCTCTGTCAAAGATGCCAAGGAAAAACAAAATCAGATAACCATAAGTAGTATCAATATCTTACCTCTACACAAATGACTTGTGGATGTAGATAAGATCTTTTCAAAGGTTATGAAAACTTGCACTAAAGGAAGCCACAAGGAAACCCAGCAATGCATATTTATAGCTATTAAGGAACTCCAAGACTTCAGTACCATAAATCGATGAAACAAATGGTGCATTAGGCCATAATTTTACTCTGAGAAATACACCATCATACATGACATCCAAGAAAAAGAAATCCTAACTGATTTTTCAAATTTGTAATCCTAATTTTACATGGATCTACCACCTGTTCAACAGAGATTCAGGATATTAACCTGTTCATCCTTCCGGTCATCACTTCGACTCCTTTTCCTGCGGGACCGAGCCTGTGGAGATGGAGACCTTCGATCATGTCTGCCTCTGCGATCTTTCTTCTCTTCGTAATCAATTTTGTGAACCTCGGAACTAATAAGAGGAGGGACCTTAGCAGCATCATTTGGCAGCTCTCTCCATTTTCTACTGCGCCGACTTAAGAGTGGTTTATCAGATTGTCCCTTTTCAGATTCAGAATCCAAATGCACAGACTCTTTATTATCATCCTGACTGCCTATCACTGATTTTATCTTGGTAGTTTGTTCGATAAGAGATTCTTGAGAACAAAGGTATTCATCCAGACTTTCAGCCAAATGATCCCACAACCTGCAAATATGTTGGTAAATTACTACACAGCAATCTTTAACCAAAATTATAATCCTTGTTTTGAAGTAACCATGAGTATTTATAACAATACACAGCTTTCAGACAGGAAAATAAAACGAGTAAAATACCAGTTTATAAAGGATTTGCTGTCGTCCCCTAGAAATACATTGAGTTCATTCTGCGCTTCCTCTTTCCTTCTCCCATTTCTGAGCAAGACAATTACATACTCCTGTGAACAGAAACTAAATGTCACTTCAATACATAGAAGCTTTCGATTCGAGCACTACAGAGAACGCAAATCAAAACCGCAATACAACATTTTTCAAAACATGCAAAGTTGGCATGGAATATGTACGCACAAGATGCAATATATTGTCAAATCGCATCTGCGGAATATGCGAAGCAGAAAACTAAACATTGATCTTTTACTGCAAAACGAATAATCTAGATGGGCATTTTCCATTAACGACATTAATCGAGTGATTCTAGAAACAGTGAGGGTATATGGCCGAAATCCAACTCATCTTCATACCCAAATCCGACAATAAAATCTGGATGTCACAAAAACCATCTCCAAGAGAGCCGAGAATCTAATAGGAACGAGAGATTCATACCACAAGAGTGTCATCGGTGTAATCCCCCATGAACTCCTTCAGCTTATCCTTCACTCTCTCTCTCAGCTTCGCCACTCCTTCGTTACTGAAATCAGCATTGAAGGTCCGATCGTCAATTTGATCCGCGCTGCCCATCTCCGCCGAAATTCCCTTCCGAAATAGAAGAGACCCCTAAATTTCCGCACAGCAGTGCTCCGTCGCCAGCGAAACCAAAATGCAAAAATCAATTGTCTGAAACAGATGCGCACAAAACCCTCGACGAAAATTTGAGAATTATTTTTTAGGGAAGAGTTCACGCAAATTCTACAGCTAGGGTTTGGCTTTTGGTCCGGATTACGAATATCTCAGGAGTCGGGAGGAACATCCAAGAGATAGCCCTAATTATATGGAGCGGGCTTTTGAGACGCAAAACTAAATAAGACCAAACAACTGAAAATATATGTACTACATGTATGTATTGAAAATTTATCCCAACTAATGCATTTTCTATTTCAGTTTAACGTATTTACAATTACATTTTGTAAGCGAATAATTTTTTAAAAGATAATTACACAATTTTACTTTCATAATATTTTATTATTTTTATATTTTATCGGTTTGTATTCATCTGTTTAATATATTTATCACCATCCAACATCACTTCTGTCCGCCGAAATATCTTTTATCTAATTATTGATTTTGAATTTTAGAACTCAATCTAAAATTGTTTATTATTAGTGCCTAATATTAGAATTAATCTATTAATCATTTAAAACATTGAAAAAACATTTGAGATTTTAAAAAAATATATATTAAAATGTTTTGACAGGCGAAAAATATTTTATAAAAATAATTAAAATTTTACGATTTAATTAATTCATTCTATTTTTTTACAAAACTATAATTTTTATTTGAATTTTTAGATGGTATAAATTTATAAAAAAAGATTCTGAATAAAATTAATGATTTAATATTTTTAATTAAATTTATTGGGATTTTTTCATAATTTACATTTAATTAAATATCTTTAAAAAAACTACTTTTTTTTATATTTCTCCTATATTTTTGTATTTTTTTGTTAAAAATTGGTATATTTATTATTGTAACAAAACGTTTTCCAACCTATTCAAAAGAGGTGAAATGTCAGAATAACCAAAAAAGTCATTGCCCGGTATCGCTTTGCTCTAAAAATAAGTAGAGTAGAGAAAAGATGTGATAATAATCCAAAGCCAAAACAAATACAATGATTATCTAAAACATCGCTATAGTATCTCAGAAACTAGGTCTGGTTTGAATTGTCAAAAAGATGGTGTTATCTGTCGTAGAGTCTTATAAAAAAATATGCAAGAAAGTTTCAACATCCTAGAAAATTGAAGCACAAATTCTAGAATTGTGTTCTGTCTATATGGTATAAGTGACCGATTGTCAAATAAGTAAAGTAATTGTTCTATAGACTCTAGTATCTCACTTAGAGTTCAACCAATGTTATTCCATCCCAATAGAGTGGGGTTTGGTATGAATGTGATTCTTATATTTACCAAAAGAAAAACTACAAAGGGCAGTCATGAGACTAAATTACAAAAATATCAATCTCCAGACCTGTTTTGGACAAAAAATGCTCCGATTGACCAACGAATAGGGGATCGACCAGATGCGGTCCGAATTCCGATCCGGTCCGGACTAAACTTGATAGAAAAAAGAAAAGAAATCTGAATGAATTAAATGATTACGTGCGGTGAGACGTGAGGATAAAGATCGCGAGTGAATCGTTGTGTGCTTATTTTTTGTAGCATTGCATGGCTTTGAACGGTAAGGCGGTGAGAGGTTGGATACCGTGATACGCGTGATTGTAGCCGGGGGGTGATGATGCACATTGAATGCTATGGTTGAAGCTCACTCGTGCGATGCGAGGAGAGCATGATTGTGATTGTATCCCATTGTGTCACGCGAAGAGACATCGGACGTCATATGATGTGACAAGCACTTGAGGTGATATTGTCGTGCAAAACGACAGCCAACGTCATGCGATGTGAAAGGTGTGTGAGGCGCACTTAGCTATGCGATGTGGCTAAGATTGTAGGATATACCTATGGTGCGATGCCATACGGTTTTGATGATCGCTTGATGCGATGACCAACGTCATGCGATGTGACGGGAGTGCGATGCGCACCTAGCCATGCGATGTGGCTAGGATTGTAGGCTATACCTATTATGGGATGCGATACGGTTTTGATGATCGCGAGATGCGATGGCCAACGTCATGCGATGTGACGGACGTGCGAGGCACACCTAGCCCTGCAATATGGCTAGGATTGTAGGCTATACCTATGGTGCGATGCCATACGGCTTTGATGATCGTGGGATGCGATGGCCAACGTCATGCGATGTGACGGGCATGCGAGACGCACCTAGCCATGCGATGTGTCTAGGATTGTAGGCTATACCTGTAATACCCCGATTTTCAAATAAATTATTTAAATTACTTTCGTAAATAAAAGACAGGTAAAACAAGCCTAAAAACATAGAAAACTAATGTGGGTCGCCTCTATGTACTCTTGTTTTTATCTTGTAACCGTGATATCTCAATGGTTTGTTGCTTGGACTTGAAAAAGAATATTTCAATGAGGATTTAGAAACAAAAGGAACCTAATTTGGTTGAGAAACGAGGGAGATATGGACGAACGAAAATTGAGGAAAAACTGAAATGTGCAGAATCACGAGTTCATACGAGGTACAGGAGTTGCGAACCATTTTCTATCTTGTTAAACTTGGGTTTTCTATAATCTATTGCTTGGATATGAAAGAGGACATTCCGATGAAGGTTTAGAAACAAACGGTGCACGATTTGGTTAAGAAATGAGTGAGAACGGAGCAATCGAAAACGGCCTATGCAACTCAGTCTGAACAAACCAGGAAGCCAGTCTGGAGGGACCAGAAGGTGTAATCCAAACGGACTACAAGAAAATCATCAAATTCTAACGGATTCTCCAACAGAAATTTTTCAACGGATTTTCAGCGGTTTTCAACGGCGTTTCAACGACGATTTCCGTTAAAATTCCATTGAAATTTCCAACGGATATCCGTTGGAACCACCCATTGGAAATTTTTAACGGAATTTTCAACGTATTCAATTGAAAAATTGGGTTGAAAATTTCCAACGGTATTTCCAATGGATATCCGTTGGAAATTTTCAACGGATATCCGTTGAAAAAATCGGTTAAAAATTTCTAACGGAATTCCAACGGATGTTGGTTGGAAAAAAAATTCCAATGGAATTCCAACAGATGTCGGTTGGAAATTTTTTTAGAAATTTTTAAAAAAAAATTCCAACAGAATTCCAACGGATGTCGGTTGGAAATTTTTTTAGAAATTGAAAAAAAAATTCCAACGGATATCGGTTGGAAATTTGGATTTTAATTGAAAAATCAATTGAAAAATATATATACTAATATATATATATATATATATTTAAATATATATTTTATATATTTATACGTATATATATATATATATATGTATAAATACATGTATATTTTGTGTATATATATTTTTATATATACAAATATAATGTGTATATAATTTGTATATATATACACATATATATATATATATTCGAATAAGTATATATATATTGATATGTATATATTAACCATATACATATACATAACAAATATTATATATATATATATATATATATATATATATATGAATTCGAATATGTATATACGTAAATATATACATATATACTTATAAATATTTATATATATATATATGTATGTCGATATGTATAACTTGGAGCAGTTGGATGATTGTCAATTGGAATTCTAGGGTTAAGGAGGATTGAGCTCGAGCAGTGGAAGGATAGGTGACCTATTGGGAAGTGAGCTTTGGGATTGCGGTCGGGGTCGGGACCGAGAATATGTTTTGAATTTTTTGTTGGAATTTTCTAATTGCGGTTGGAAATTCCGTTAGAAAATTCCAACGGATTGCGGTTGGAAATTCCGTTGGAAAATTCCAACGGATATCGGTTGAAAATTCCGTTGAAAAATTCCAACGGAAAAATTCGTTGAAATTTCGTTGAAAATTCCAACGGTTGTCCAACGGATATCGATTTCTAACGACGAAATTCCAACGGATTTATCCGTTGGAAACGTTAATTTCCAATGAAAATTTAGTCATTTCCAACGGATTTGCCCGTTGGAAATAACCATTTTTTTGTAGTGAGCCGAAATCATATCCGAATCTAATCTAAGGTGAGTGGCTTGAGTTGCGTCTGTGTAAGCTCGTTTTCATCGATGTGATTGTGTTATATGTTGGGATTTGCTGGGATCTCTAGAGCGAATCTAATTCCTAAGAGATCGGTTCTAGGGTTTGCGCAGCGGATGTAAAACAAAATTTTTCTATAAACCCTAAAACCAAACATGCGTGATTTTGTAGAAATGTTAGAACGCTTACCTCAATCGATTCAGGGTCTGTTTCAATTGATGTGTTCGTCCGATCACAAAGGCAGAAAGATTACCTCGCCCTCTACACGTATCCACACGACGGAAAGGATTACAACAGATTGGAACTTGTCTGCTAGGATTGAAGAACTTGTCCTCCAATGTGCAAGGGTTTCAGGGATCTTTCTCTTCGTTTTCGGATCTCAAAAACCTCTGAAAAGTCTAAAAAATCGTCCTACCAAGATTAGGAGGTGTTACCCAAGTGTTGGTTGCCCCAAAACCCTAATTAGAGTGAGATAAATAATTTTCTACGCCTGGACCGATCGGTCTGGAACTTTTTCGCACCGAACAACGCTTGTTCGCAACCTCTGGACCAACCGGTCCACGCGTCTGGACCAGTCGGTCTGGGCAAGCTTTGACCGATCGGTCCAGACCTCTGGACCGGTCGGTCTGGCTTCCGTGCCACCGGGAATTTCTCGTCTTTTCTCGTGCATTTGTCCTTTCCTATGTGTGTGACCCTGTAGACTCATCCGATATAGCAGTATAACCTGAAATCTCTATTTCGGGTATACAAGTCATAGGCGGTCTCTAGCAAGACACTATGACTACCTATCTCGAATAGAGTTTATTTGTGATCTTACGAACGTTGGTGATGATTTCGGTTGATGATCCTTTTGTATAACGATATCATATGTTGAACATAAGGCATGAAAAAACCACCTTATCTGATTCGACTGCTTTCTCGTTCACTGAGTTTCACTGTGCAAAATAGACGACGCTCGTCTATAGTGTGGCCACACATTTCTACAGTCTCACTCACATGAGGGACCTATCGATATCTCTCTCTTTTACGAGAGGTACAAATCTCATCTTGACTATCTACAATCCAGCACATGATTCGTGTGGTACCTGATACACGCCTTTATAGTCCTCCTATTACAGAGGATGTTTGACGTATTCAAAGTACACAACTC